CTCACACATCCTCCCAGGTGACATCCTCCACCTGCCACCTGTCCTGGTGGGCCATGTCCTCCACCCACCAGGCCCAAGCATCCACCAGCTGGTCCTCCAATGCTGTGACCAGGCAGTCTGGGAGGAGGGTCCTGTACAGGGTCATCCTCTGCTGGAACTGGTACCTCTGAAGGGCCCTGGCAGAGGTGGGTTACGATTTTTTGGAGCCTTGAACAAACACAAAATTGGGCGCCCCCTCTAGAGGTGCACTGATCTATCAGTTGCGTATTGGAGTGGCACCAATAAACGAAAAATTAACATTGCCAGCTATCAGCTTTTTTTGGCCAGTGTAGCCAATTAATGTCACTGATGAATGCCCCATACACACAGCCAGGAATGCAGACAGGCAGCTTGGAGAGCAGAGCCCTGCCAGTAAGTCTGTGTGGGGGAAGGGCCATGGTGGGGTGGGGGCAGATGGAGGCCCCCATGGTGAGGGAGGGAGTGGGGCAGGGGCTGCCCAGACAGGGTGGTGAATGGGACCCTGGAGTGGGACATGGGATGGAGTTGCAGGTGACTCATCCAGGGGGCATGGGAGGGTTGGAAAGGGTGGCAGTTCCCTGCCACTGTGTGCACCCCTAGGGGAAGCATGGGGGCCATGTGCCCCTCACATATTTGTGCACGGGGTGAGGGTGGGCTGCCCACTGCAGGTTTGGACCAAGAGGGGCTGTGCCAGCTTCTTCCCAGCAGGGAGGCTGGCCAGGGCTGTATTCAGGATGGGCATGGGTGGGACAGCCTCAGCTACACAGGACAGGCAGCAGTGCTATGGGGGGCCTATGGGGAATTTTGTGGTGGCTATAGCCCCCCCAAGACCCTCGTTAGTTCTGCCTCTGATTGGGACACTCTGCTCTGCTGCCTTTCCCTCAGGAGCTCTGAGCAGAGTGCCCCGGGCAGGAGCAGTGCTAGGGGAGAGTTGTGGGGGGGGCTATAGCCACCACAAAATTCCCTGTAGCTCCCACATAGGCAACGCATAGGGAGGGAATGAGGGGGCATGTGCCCCCCTGAGAGCACTGGTGCCCCCCATGACAGCGAGTGCTCCAGCTGGTAGGGGGGCATGGAGAGTGGTTTTGCCCCCCACCCCAAAATTGGGTCTGTTATTGGGATGTCCCAGCACTTCTGTGCCACTGGTGCATGCAGCAACTGGGGGACCCCCCCCCCATGGTCACCATGATTGGCCCCAGTCATCATGATTGGTCACTGTGGGACCCCCGCCCGGCTGTGCCCTGCTAATGCCCCCCCAGACTCAGGAAGCACCAGTCGTCCATCAGCTCCCCCATAGCTACCCTTCCCAGCATCACTGCCTGCCCTGTGCAGCTGAGCCTGCCTCACCTGCACCTGCCCTGAACACAACCCCAGACCAGCCCCCTGACTAGATAGAGGCTGGTGCAGCCCCCAGTCCAAGTCTGCATTGGGCAGCCTGCATTGACCCATGCAAAAATCCGGGGGGGGGCACATACTACCCATGCCTCCCCTGAGGTTGCATGCAGCGGTGGGGTTTTTCCCCCCTCCACACCCCTTTGCACCTCCTCTCCCTACCTCCCTGCACCCCTGGATGAGCTGCCCACAAATCTGCCCCACTCCCAGCCCCAGGGTCCTACTCACTGCCTTGGCTGAGCAGCACCTGCCCCTGCCCCTGCCCCACTCCCTCCCTCACTGTGGGGGCCTCGATCTGTCTCCCAATGCCCCTTCCCTCCCCCACACTCCTTCCCTGCAAAGACTTATGTGCAGGATGCTGGCTGCCTGGCTGTGCTCCTGACCAAATGTGCAGGAGCACCTGTAATTTTATAGGTTCCCACCCCCAGCCACTGATTGGTGGAGGGGCCATGCTTGTGGCTCACTCCTCAGCAGGAAAGCAAAAGCCGTGGCTTTAAACTTGGCACTGTTTTTGTCTCCCCACTGCTGATTGGCTGAGGGGCCCTGGCAGCCCAGCTGCTTGCTGCCCATGAGCTACGAGACAAAAACAGTGTCAAATTTAAAACCATGGCTTTCACTTCCCTGCCGATAAGAGGCGAGCCACAAGTGGGGCCTCTGGTTGGTCTGGGGCCCATAGGCCCAAACTTTAATCTGCTTATGGGCCCTGTCTATGGATGGTGGTGACCCTGAGGCCTCATCCTCTCCCCCATATGCAGCTGCAGGCCCTGTAGAGCCATAAGACAGATGTTTGTGTGAGTTTGCAACATTTCAGAGATAAGATGCCCTGAACCAGGGGCTACACACTGCCCAGTCTCAGATCAGGGGTCAGGCATGCACAAGTGCTCAGGGACCATGGTAAGTCAGACAGGCAGACCCATGCCCAGACAGTCACTACTCAAGCCCCCCATCCCTGCTCACTACCTTGGAGCTGGCAGCCCACTAGGTCCTGGACACAGGCAGCCTGTCTGCCCTGCCCTATTCCTAGGGTGGAACAGGCCAGGATCCTGGCTGCACTACCACCATGCCACATGCCACTGCCACCATGCCACTGCCTACACTCCCAGTCCTACTTCTCTATGGCTGCATCTAGACATGCGTGAACATTTGGCTCCCCAGAAACAACTACTGCTGCCACTAGCTGTCCCCTAGCACATGGCAAGTTACCCAAGGTGGGGAAGATGTGGCTGGAGCCAAGGGGCTTCCTGGGGCTGCAGCTGCATTGCTCCACTCCACCTTTTTTTCTTTGGAAGGTTTTTGACACATGCAGACGTGTCTGCCATACCACATACTGCATGATCACGCTCATCTGGATGCAGCCTATGATTCTATGAAAAGATGCAAATATTCCCCTGGTTATAATTAGATTAGGAAAGACTTCTAATCTGGCAAACACACACACTTTGAGGGAAAGCAGGAAGATATATGCATAGTGTGGACTCACCAAAAATCCAAGAGATAATGTATGTAAATGATCAGTCAAGAAACCGCATTTAAGCTTTGCCAGAAGAGTAACTGTTTGTCTTTAGTTTGCCCAGGCATAGGGAATGACTTGAAGCCCCTTGGCAAGTAGTCTGAGTAAAAGCTGCATTCTTGGGTTTGAGATGCAGGGTAAAAATCATATTATTTTTCTATATATAGGCAGGTCTCTTGCAAGGAAGGGGAGAATCTATCTTTTCTGAGAGCATGACTGGACAAGAGTATGAGATTCCTCTAGTTGGCAACATCCCCGCTGCTAACAGCTGGCAAGACCTAGGTGAGGCAGGTAAAGATGAGTCAGCGAGGTGACCTTAGAAGCTTCTAGGTCTGTCCTCAGTGGTCAAGTAGCAGATAGCAGAGAGGGGTTTGGGGCTAAAGAACAACCCTGAAGGTGTGAGAGCACCCTAGAAAGGTGTCCCAAAGGCCCACCTGAGTACAGATGGGGCCAGGGTGTTTCACAGATATATCCACACATTTTTTCATTTTACATATAAGGAAGAGTCTAAAAGAGGGCCATGTGACATACCCCCCTCAGAATCCTGATTTTTTTTTCAGCATTTCTCTCTAAAAATAATGATGCTTTCTGAACTCTTCATAGTAAAGGAAAACATAGTGATTTGTCTTAATCTGAATGAGATAATCCTTTATACTTCATCTCCTTAAATTCAGTGTGAGAGACTTCTTCGCTCTTTCATTTATCTTCAAACCCAGTTAGCTGTGGTTCTGTACCTAGCATTTCTGCTTATTAAGCCAAGGGTGTATGTTTGTTGTTTTGTTGTGTTTTGGTTTGGTTTTTTGTCTCTTGCAGTGACAAATACTTCTGAAACAAGATAATCTGGTTTACCATTCAAGGTTTTCCTCCTTCTTTTCATAGAGTCTCTACTGCAACACCTTATTCAGTCACATCTATTCAGCCTTGCATGACATTTCCCTGGAGGCCAATCCTTCCAGGTTACCATCCATTGTGGTTACTGCTGATAGAAGAAGGTTAAATCATTTATTAGCTCCAATAAAATGTTGATTCCCAACAGCTTTTCTGTGCCAAATCTCTAGCTTCACATTCTTTAAGACATCTATCACTATTGTATCAATTTACCAAACAGAATTAAAGAGTGGACAGCTGAAGTCAAAAAGGTGTTTTCTTCTCTGCATACCCTGGGTAGGGTAGTATGCAGTTTGCTTTTATTCCATGTGTGAAGTGCTGTAGATGATGTCTCAGGAATTGGCAAGGTGTGTATACACTGAGACTTTTTAGCCTTGTTCTGGAGAATTATACTCAAAAGAAACCTGGCTGACTAGGGTGCAGGCACTGTGACCATATGGATATGCTATGCAGCTAAGGGAAAAGCCCTTTGAAAATTATTACATATTTCCCTCGATTTATGCTGTACATGTGTTCCCAGAGAACAGCGCAGTAACTGGTGCTACTGCACATTAGTGCCGGTGCACAGCTTTTTAGTGATGTTAACTACACAGTAGTAGGTGCTAGTAGCATGCTACTGCACAGTAGCATATTAGCACAGGTTTTGCCTGGCATGCTACTGAGCAGTGTTATTAGACTTGCGTAGTTAGCATCTTGTGTAGACGCACCCAGAATTTCTTTTTAATTCTTTACAAGTATTAACTATATATGTATGTATGTGTTTGATTTATATGATGCCCTTCCTAAAAAAGGCTCAGGGTACCTTACAATAAGAAAAACCGAATAAATTATAAAACAGGAGAGCAAAAGGAGGAGCAAAACATCTTAAAAGGGATCTAGAACAGCAAGATGAAACAGAGAACCCTTAAACAACAGCTCATCCTAGTTTTGTTCAGTAAATGCCTGACCAGATAAGCAGTTCTTACAAAGCTTCCAAAAGATATCCAGGGTTGAGCTCTCATGTGTCTCAAAAGGGAGGGAATTTCAGAGCTAAGGAGCAACTGTGAAGAATGACCGCCGAGGAATTTTCACCAAATAGGGTTGGCATACTGTAAGCGGTTGTCCTTGGCTGGCCTTAAGGACTTACTTAGGGTTTTACTCTCCACACCATCCCTATGAAATACGCAAGTGGCATCCCCATTATACAGAATGCTTCAGTACATAATTAGAGGGTTTACCCAAGTTTCATCTAAATATCATGGGAGAGATTAAAGTCTCTCCTGACTATAACTGGTTCAGAAGTACAGTTCCACTTAAAAAGGTATGTACCATTTATATGATTTGTTATGAAATAGAGTCTTATTTCACAAGGACCATGCTGTGCAGTACTGAGAACTGTCTAAGCCAGTGGTCAGCAATGTTTTGGAGCTGTGGGCTGGAACAACCCAACTCCAGTTTGGATCTGGCCCATAGACCCCTGAGCACTGCATCTTTGCTAGAACTCCAGTGACTGCTTTACATGACTTGCAGTCTGGCATGTCTACTGACGTGACCCATGTTACTATCGTGCCTGGTGTGATGCTTTTATTTTTGACACAACTCTTTTTGAAGTAATTTCTACTGGGTTCCTGGTGCCATCTGAGTTTTGGCAGTCTGCTGGAGAGCTGTGCTTGTCAGCACTTGTGGCCGGTCATTTTTGATTCTGAAGTTAGGAACTAGCAGTGCAGTTTAGCTGCCTGTCCTGCATTGGTGCTGTTGCTGCCAGCTACAGCTCTGACTTCCATTCCTGTTGGTTTGGTTTGGTTTGGTTTTATATAGAGCTCTTCTCCTCATCTTCATGGAATCCACGCTGCTTTCTGGAGTCCCACCTGTGGAAGGATGGGCATGCTGAAAGAAGAAACTCTCTTTGTTCTATAATGACAGGCTCTTCTGATAGCTTCTGTTGTATCCAGCCACTTTCCTCTCTTGCTTAGGCTCTTCTCTGTAGGCTTGGTGAGGAACTAAAGTGTTTGGTGTGTGCAGCCCTCTTATAACTTCTGCTGTGAGCTACCAGTGTTGCAGAAGGTTTGCAAAAAACACTGCTTTCCAGAAGGACTCTGAAGCCAGCTATGTATCTTGTGATGTAGAGCTGAAACCACATGGTTTCACCAAGTAAATGGTAGATAAATATATTCATAGCTCTCAAACTTGAAGGTGCAGCTTTGGAGGAGACGATGTCTGGTGAAGAGGGAGGGGAAAATATATTCTTCCTGGCATCAGTGAAGCTTCTCCTCTCTTCACTGTTGCATTGGCTTTCACCATATCTGATTATGAAGAGCTTTGGGGGCCTGGGAACCTCAAAGATGTCTTTGGGAGCAAGTGTCTTAGAGTGGGGTTTCTCAACCCATGGGTCACAAACCAAAAGATTCCCAGGAATATGTGAAAAGGTTGTGTACAAACTTTAAAGCTGTAGGCTCCTTTAAAGGAGAAAAATGTGGGAAACAGTAGCTTTTCCCTTGCAAGGTAGCAGAGTTCCAGCCTGCGAGCAGTTGCTTGCCCACCCCTGTCCCCCAATACACTGGGAGGCTGGAGGATAGCAGGTATGGAGTGAGGGGTATGGGGTTGGGACTGGCCCTCATTTACAAATGGGTCCTGATACAAAAAAGGTTGAAAACCACTGGATTAGAGAGTCTAGGTTTGTCCTGCTTCAGTCATGAGTTATCCCTTCCACTTGCACCCCCTGCCCCTACCATATAGCTGACTTCCTCCTCCTTGGGCAGGGGGCTGGACCTGATGATCTCTCGAGGTCCTTTTCAGCCCTAATGCCTATAAAATCTATGAAATCAAATATCCAAGTCAATTGGGATAAAAAATCATTACTTACTGGATCATGAGTTAGATTGTTCACCATCCCTCTCTCTCACTACCAAACAGGTATAAGACCCTAATCTTGTAAGCATTTATGAAAGTGACCATCTTTATTTATGTGCATATCCTGAGTAATAAACTGTAGAGGCAAAGCTAAGCACAGGTATAAGTGACTTCAGAATTAGGATCTCCAAAACACTGTGATAACAGTCACCTGCCTCACACACTTTCTTTCATTTACTTATTTAATTAGGAAACACAGAGCAAGGGAACATATTAAATTTACATGATGATAGTTAAAGAAATACAGAAATGTTCAGACTCAAATTGCCACTCAGCCACAGAGCAGGAAATATGTAAAACTGGGAATGGCAGGGATAATACATTCATTTGTATTTATACTAACTATAATTTGCAATATCCATAGACTTCATATGTCTATGGGAATGCAAGTACTTATACCCAAAGCTAGGAAGAGACATTACACATAATCTGAATTAAGTGATCAGAAATCAAGCCAAACCACTAACCATACAGAAGTTCAGGGCACACAGAACAGACTAAAAATGGCAGAATTTGCTCTAAGATAGTCCTGGATCAATGTGTACTTAATCTTATTCAAATGAGATCAGTCCAGTACATCAAATTTCTGTACCAGATCCCCTTTGGATCATGTTAGGTCACTATCTGCTGGCACCATAGGCTTTGTGGACCCCCCACTACCTTCTCTGGCAAGAAGGCATGTTAGCACTCATCCCATGCTCATCTGCTTCAGCCAAGTGCTCAGTGGGCCCCATCCCCAAGCTCTCCCAGGAAAGTCTCTGTCCCAGGAAGGCCTCTGTCACCAACCCTGTTTCCTTCCTACAGCCAGCCATCAGCTGCAGCTAGGTAGCGAGGGCAAGGGAGGAGGGTGGAAATGGAGGCTTCTGCCCCATGGACCCAGTTCTGGCTCTCCCAGAGCCAAGCCAGGAAAGCTTCTGTCCCCAGTCCTGTTTCCTGCCCACAGCCAGCTGTCAGCCATGGGTAGGCAGTGGGGGCAGAGGAAGGAAGTGGAAATGGAGGCTTCTGCAACACAGACCCAGCAGCCATCAAGGGAGGCCCAGCTACTAGCTGCACTTGGCAGTTGCCAGCAGCCCACGAAGCCCCAACCTGCTAGCCTCAGCCAGTGCAGGTAGCTTGAATGCTGCCCCTCACCAAGGGTGACCATGTGCTCTGTTTACTACCAATCTAACCTAAGCCACTTGCAGAAAACCATGCAATTTAGATTAATTCCTCCTCAGTCTTTTTGAATGTCTGTACCTAGCCCAAGTGATACCATTCTCTGCCAAATGAACAAATCCACGATTTGAGTTTTCAAATGAATCAAAGCAAAGATCTTGTTACTCAGCACTGAAGCTTACCCAAAACAACTCATCAGAGTTTTACAGACTCACTGTTACAGAAATTTCCTATGATCCTATGAAATTGCACAATATAGCCTAGAGTGTCATCAGAACAAGACAGCACACAGCCACCAAGATTATGAGTAGCTGGAGAGACTGTTACAGCTTTGCCAAACAGTCTCACTGGAAGTTTTCTTCAAAATATTTTCTCCAGCAAGCAAATGGTAGCTGGATGAGAGACTTCTGGATGCTTCCTGCCTGTTAGTGCATGTTGCATCAAAGAAAGAAGTTTAGGGCACCTATAACAGGCAACATGTACCCTATTATGACAGTCCAAAATGAAGTAAATTACAGAGAAATTAAATCCAGTACTGTCTCTCTCACAAATTTCAAACCTAGTTAACAAAGACTATGGCATGTCAAAATCATCCTTGGGAAAATCACCCTTAAGCTATTAGGTAAAATGTTAATAGTTATAAAAAATAATTCAGTATTTATAGTGATAAATTATTTCCATGAATCATTTAAAAAAATCTCAGTCAAGGTTTATTATTAACCAGCCTGGAGTTGCCTTTACAATCATATTTTCTCACATACACCATGCCACAGAATTGTTTTTGTAAGGCAGAATGAAGAAAAAATTATCTTTTCTTGTAGTAAGTAACAGCAAAGATAGGTAAGGAGACAGACAGCCTAGAATAGTAAAAGAACAGGTTAAGGATTATTTAGAGAAGTCTGATGCTTTGGGCTGGATGGGATGCACCCTAGGGTATTGAAGAAATTGAATGAGGTAATTTCAGGGCCACTGGCTATTCTGTTTGAAAATTCATGGAGGTCAGGTGAGGACACAGACACTTGGAAAAGGGAAAATATAGTCCCCATGTTTAAGAAAGGGAAGAAGAAGGATCTGAGGAATTACAAACTAGTCAGTCTGACCTAGATACTGGGAAAGATCATGAAGCAGACCCTCAAGAATCTACCGTGAAGCACCTAAAGGAGAACAGAGCAAGCAAGAACAGCCAGCACAGATTCACTAACAGCAAGGCATTTCTGACCAACCTGATTTCTTTCTTTGATTAGGTTACAGGCCCTGAAGATGTGGGGGAGGCAGTGGATGTGATAAACCTTGACCTTAACAAGATTTTGGATGCTCTCTCTCAAAACATTCTTGCTAACAAGCTAAGGAAATACAGATTACACAAAAGTATTACTGGCTGGATCATTCTACTCAATGAGTAATCATCCATGCCTCAATGTCTAGCTCAAAAATACCAATGGTAGAGGTGCTGCCCAGGCTTTGCCTAAAAATCCAGTAGTTAGAACAGTCACCCAGGAAATGGAATATCTGGCTTTTAGGTTATCTTTAGCCTGAGGGGATTTAAACTCACCTCCCTTCTTTCCCAGGAAAGAAGAGCCCTAATCACCAGGCTTTATCTTGGGATCCTACCCTTCAGTCCCCCGATGATGACTGGCAACCGAGAAGGAAAAGAACCAAAAGGAAGTAGGAGCATAGCCTCATAGTTAGGGCATTCAACTAGGAAAGGGGAAACCCTAGGGACCCCAGGGGCAGGGTTGTTAATAATGAATGTTTAATAAAAAAAAAAACACAGGTAAATAACTCTGGCAGAACAGACCAAAACTTAGGATGCTACCCTCTCAGAGGAGTTCCCTGATTACAATCAGTTTCTCTTGTTTATCAAATTGTGTGGGCTTCGTGATTACCCAGTAATTCATCATCAACAGGATGGATGGAGGATGCCTTTTATCAGCCTATTCTATAGATTTGTGGTCAGGGCACTCTCTTAAGAAGTAAGAGTTATTGGTTTGAATCCTGCCAGATCTAAGAGGGGGGCAAAAGCCAGATCTCCTACATCAAGGGCTAGTGTTCTAACGATTGTGTTATTATGCAACATTCAGGCAGCAAACCCTATAGATGCCTACCTTCAAACGTGG